TAGGGAGCTAGAAACGTCGATGAGAGAAACATCGACCAGTTGCCTCTTGCACACCCCACACCAGGGATGTGCCCGCAACCAATGTACATGCCCTTGACTGGAATCGAACCTGGGACCTTTCAGTCCGCAGACCGACGCTCTACCACTGAGCCAAACCAGTTTCGGCTCCCTCTAGTTCTTACTTTTTTGTTTCTTCAAATCCACTTGAAGTATCATAATCTCCTTTCTGAATAACCTCTCCCCACCCCACTTATTTGCCCTGAGTTTCTGGGATAGTTTGTAGGCATTCTGAATAGGGCTTAGTACTGGAATCTGACCCTCGCCAACTCTTGTTATTACTTGACTTGTTTAATTGGGAATGAAGGAAGTAAAAGTGTCACTTTTTATAGATGACACAATCCTTTATATAGAAAACTCTAAAGACTCCACCAACCATTAGAAACAATAAACAAATACAGTAAAGTTGCAGAATACAAAATCAATGTACTAAAATCTGCATTTCTATACTAACAGTAAAATTTCAGAAAAAGAAATGGAAAAAAATTCCTTTTGCAATTACAGCAAAAATAAAATAAAATAAAATGAAATAAAATAAAATAAAATAAAATACCTAGGAATAAACTTAGCTAAGGATGTGAAGGACCTATATAATGGAAACTACAAAACAGTATTAAAAGAGATTGAAAAGACACAATAAAATGGAAAGATATTCCATGTTCATGGATTGGAAGAATCAAAATAGTTAAATGTCCATATTACCAAAAGTAATATATAGACAATGCAATCCCCATCAAAATTTCAATGACATGTATATAAGCAAATAATTTTTGACAAAGGCGCCGAAAACATACACTGGAGCTGAGAAAGCCTCTTCAATAAATGGTGCTGGGAAAACTGGAAAACCACATGCAAAAGAATGACACTAGACTACTGTTTGCCCTCGTGTACATAAGTTAATCCAAAATGGATCAAAGACTTAAATATAAGATCTGAAAGAATAAATCACATAGAAGAAAACATAAGTACTAAACTTATGGACCTTGGTGTTAGAGAAGATTTTATTAATTTGATCCCAAAGCCAATGGAGGTAAAGGCAAAAATAAATGATTGGACTATATCAAACTAAAAATCTGCACAGCATAAGAAACCAATAAAACAAAAGGCAACCAACCAATATTTGTAAACAGCAGTTTCGACAAGGGCTTAATATCCAAAATATATAAAGAACTCATACAACTCACCACCAAACAATCCAATTAAAAAATGGGAACAGACACTTCTTGAGAATTTAAAAAAAACCACCACTGCAATGAGGTATCAGCTCACAACTGTTAACATGATATAACTTTATGCTTGCCAACTTTTAAAAATGCTTTGCCATGACATTTTTTAAAGGTCAGTTTTCATCTATTTGTAAAACAGACTAAATAATCTACTTAAAGTCATGTACATGGCCAATCCACTTAACTAGCAAACACAACACCGTGAAAGCATGAGGGCATTCATATGAACCCTTCTGAGCATGAAACCACACTTTTCCTCAGAATATTTGTATGCTGCTTAGAGTCAGCTCAATAAGGTACTCTCTTGTTTGTTAAAGAAAACGGCTAAGTTCTAATATTTTCTCTTGCTACCCTAGGGGGTAATCCCTGGGCCTTGCTGTGAGTGTTTTATTTCATGAGGACAGAAAACCACAGAGGGTGAAAAGAAGCCATTGCTCTTGAGCTTGGGCTGGGGAAAAGAGGATTCAAACAAATCTTTTTGAGTTAATAATTCCATGTACCTATGACTTGCACAATGAATAGCAAGATTTGACCAATCAAACAAGTTATTCTTTTTCCCATGTAGAAGATCTGAGTTGGCAAAGAAAGAGTAAGACAAGCCTCTTTTCTCGGCAGTTGATTTTTCTATAATGAAGCTAAAATTGTTTTTCCATCTGTCTGTCTTCAACACCAGACTGAACTTCGTAAGGACAGGAACACTTCAACCTGGAGTCAGCACAATGCCAGGCATATGATTGTAAATAATACTTAATATAAGGAAAATGAGGTTTCCATTAGGAAGTAGGAATATCCTACTGAAGGGTAAGCATGTAGGCTAGTGGTTTTCAAACAAAATGGTGGAATGGAAGAGAGTGGGTCAAGAAGGTCATTCGGAAAGAAGTGCAGAACAATGGGAGTGAATGCAGACTTTTTAAAATATATATTTTTATTGATTTTTTACAGAGAGGAAGGGAGAGAGATAGCTAGAAACGTCAATAAGAGAGTAACATCAACCAGCCTCCTCTTGCACACCCCCTACTGGGGATGTGCCCGCAACCAATGTACATGCCTTTGACCGGAATCGAACCCGGGACCTTTCAGTCCGCAGACCGACGCTCTACCACTGAGCCAAACCAGTTTCAGTGAATGCAGACTTTTTAATAGAAATGGGAGGGACTGCTATTCAGGGTGTGGCCAGCAGTGATAGAGATGATAGGCATAATAGAATGAATTGAAATAAAAATTCTCTGCAGATTCAGGAGAAATTCTAGGTGGTGTCAGAAGGTATTATATAACTGATTTCTAGAACTTTTGTTCAAGGATCTAATAGAATAATGGCAAATAATGGCAAATAATTGTACTGTCATAGACAAGAGCTTTGCTCAGATGAGGAAGGAAAAGTAAAAAGTTGTAAGATAAGGGGGAGGTAGGATTTCTTTTTTTCCAGTTTGTTAAAGATAAATTGAACATCTGTATTTTAAAGGAAATTTTTCCTGTTATTTTGAATTTTATAAGATGCACATTCAAAAATCAAAATAACTTTCAAGTAGACTTCCATAATAAAGTTATCAAAACATTAGAAAGCCTGAGGTTCCACATTAAACACATACATAGTTTACCATAGTTTGATATTTTTCTGACAATAAAGTAATTGTAATTCAATTACTTTAAACTACAAATTTTACATACACACACACACACACACACACACACACACACGGTGGGATGAAAGTAGGTTTGCAGTTGTTCATATGAAAAATAATAATATACAAATAAATTCTATGTTTTGCATACGCACAACTATAAACCTTTTGCCCCACTCTGTGGAGCAAATATAAAAAAGCATTAAACCAGTTAGATGCAACAATAACAAAATGATCCAAAATGTATAAAACAAATTTTTCAATACAACTTTAAAATAAAAATGTCAACATAACAAAGGATTTATTTTATACTTGAAAAATCAATGATTCATGAAAGACATATAACAACAAAGATTCATGGGAAGTTAATGTTTGTAAATAAGAACATGTTAATTTGAGTTGAGCAAAGGTTGGGGATAAATATACTTTTCAAGCTATATTTTTAAAACTAAATTTATTGGGGTGACAAATTTATTATGTGTCCAACCAGGCTGGGAATTCAAACTGCAGCCCAAGCGTGTGCCCTTGACTGGAAATTGAACTCCAATAAAAAAAGCCTAAGCAACTGGCTGACCAGCCAGTAGCTATGATGTGCACTGACCACCATGGGGTAGACGCTAAATGCAGGAGCTGCCAAGCTGCAGTCTCTTGGCAGCGGTGGTTCTCGGATGACACACCCAGAACCAGAGAGGAGGGAGCCCGATTCCAGGGTACATCACCTGAGAACCGCCCTCTTGAAATCCAGGACCCCTTGGAGGATGTAAGAGAGCTGGTTTTAGCCCGATCCCAGCAGGCCAGACTGAGGGACCCCACGGTGCACGAATTCATGCACCAGGTCTCAAGTTGGTCAATAATAAGATACAAGTTTCAAGTGTACAATTCTATGATACATCATCTGAATATTGTATTGGATGCTCACCACCCTAAGTTAAATCTTCTTCCATCACCATATATTTTACCTCCTTTATCCTTTACTACCTTTATTCCTTCCCTCTAATAATCACCATATTGTTGTCCAAGTCTCTGAGTTTTTGTTTGCTTTCCTTATTTGTTCATTTGTTGCTTTCAGTTTTATATCCCACATATGAGTAAAATCATATGGTTCTTAACTTTCTGTCTATTTCACTTAGCATAATATTCCCAAGATCCACCCTTATTGTCACAAATGCCAATTTTTAAGTCATATATATATATATATATATATATATATATATATATATATATGTGTGTGTGTGTGTGTGTGTGTGTGTGTGTACACATATATGTATTTATTAACTTACATGTTAATCCTCACCTGAGGATATTTTTTCCATTGCTCTTTAGAGAGTGGGAGGGAGGGAGAGACGGGAAAGGAGAGAGAAAGAAAGAGATTGATTGGTTGCCTCCCTCATATGTCCAACCAGGCTGGGAATTCAAACTGCAGCCCAAGCGTGTGCCCTTGACTGGAAATTGAACTCCAAGACCCTTGGTTGCACAGGCCAAAGCTCTAACCACTTAGAAACACCACCCCGTCTAAGTTATGTTTTTAATAGGCAGTTTTCCCCTCATTCCCCCTTTCTCTTTACTTTAAAAATCTATATTAAAATGTCTTATAATTTTTAAGGCTAACCATTGTGTATAGTGATTAGAACCCTTAGAACAAAGTTAAAAACCAACCAACAGATATCGGTTAGAGAAGTTACTCTGTCATAACTAAAACCCCAAACCATTTGTTCACTGCTTTATCCCATGTACTAACTATTCCAAGGATTAAATCCCAGTTCCTTCCATGACTGATAAATGCAGGAATATTGGGATAATTTGCAAGTAGGATCACTGCTCTTAGTCTGATACAGTACCAAGTCCATACCAGGTTGAGACTGGAACATGGTAATGATGGCCCTTTTTAGCAAGGACTCATTGTTTATGCTACAGTGTACTTCTCTCCTTTGCTCTCTGCTAACTCATTGATAAATTTGTTGAGGGTAGAGATGAGTTTTCTAGTCAGATTAATATCCCACTTCCTAATATAATACCTGATATTAGAGACTCATAAAATTGAATTGAAATAGTTATATTATTTGCCTCTAAAGCCTTAATTTATTTACATTGTAGATGCAGAGGAAAACTTTTACAGGGTCTGAAAGTAAAGAAGGAAAAGGAACATCTAAACCAGAAAATTTGGTGCCATTTGGGGATGTGGTATGTATGATTAATCCTTAGTAAACCCATATAAGTTATTTCTTATTTTACATTAAAACTAGTTACTGTTTATTATTTGGTAATCAAACGTATGCATAGAAAATGGTACTTTCTGATAACATACTCATTGATTTTTTTTTCATTTTTATGAGTCAGAACACCATTCTGGTGATCACTGAAATTATAGAAAACATCCTGATTCAAAGAAAAAAATGTTTTCTATATTAGGAATTCATAAAGTCAAGTTTTATAAGAATCATCTGGAATCATTTTTAAAAACATTGCTTCTCAGGCCCCACCTAAGACCTGCTAACTTAGAATTTGAGAATGGGGTTTTAGGATACTGAATAAAAAAAGCTTATCTCAAGCAAGGAATATTTCTTATTATTATTTGAAGGTGTTACACTTTACCACTTCTTACTTAATATAAAATAAAAATGATTCAAAGAGTGATGATTGGATTTAAGTTGGTAATGAACCATTGTTTTGCTTTGTATTCTTGTTCATTTTAGGTTTATCTTAAACAAAGCCTGTCTGTTTTTCTTTGTTTCTGCTTTCTGGTGTTTTCCAATAACTAGAGATTTCTAATGAGAAACAATATTTCTTATGAAAAAGACTAACAAAGTAGAGCTTTAAAAATATGTAGTTTGGTATAGAGTAAAATAGAAGAAAAGTTACTTTTAAAAATTTACTCACTGTGTTTTTATTTTGATTGTTATAGGTTGGCTGTCTGGCTATTCATGTAAAGAACTGCAGTCATTTTACACCTAACAGTATCCTTTCTTTTGATTAAGAATCATGCTATTATCATATATCACTATTTCAGTTAGATATTACTATATTATAAGACACTCTAAGACTTAATGGCTTAGAATATTAATTATTATATTGTTAATCACTATATGTGCACTCCTTGGGTGGTACTCCTGCTTTATTATCGCAGCTGAGGCTATAATCACCTGGCAGGTCAGAAAAGCTGGGATATGTATGGGTCATTTATGTGTCTGGTGCTTTAGTGAGATGCCTAGAAGATTGGCATTATTTTTTTTTCCTCTATTCATTTTTATTTTATATTACATTAAAATACTATTTATCTTCATTACTGAATTTGTTGGTGCCCTCTTAAATTTTGTCCCCTGGCTAGGGCCTCTCCGACCCTTTCCTAGTCCCAGTCTGGTCAAGTCCATTGCTTCTTAAAGCAGTCATTGGTCCAGGCGAGACTCAAGAGCAGAGGACAAGAAATGTTACTCTGGATGTGGACAGTGACAAAAGAATTTTAGCCATTGGTAACCACCTCAATCACCATCAAAGTTAAAGGAAAATATATATGATATCTTCTTGGAATATATATTACTAATCCATTCCTAAGAAATAACTGTGCTTCTTTTAAGTGGATTTATTTAACTTGGTACCCTTAAATAAATCCTCTTCTTGGATTTATCATGGCATACACCCAGTCTCATTATGAAGATGTGGTGTTTCTTTTTTATATAAGTGATTAGTGAAGAGAATTCTACATAGAGATTTTTTAAGGTAATTAGTTAAATCATGAAAAAATATTGTTTTAATGGAGTGCTACGAAAAGTAAAAGAACAAGCTAATATAGTATAAGCAAGTATGTAGTGAATTAAAGTAGAATGCTGCTTTAAAATTTGTCCTTAAATTAAAAAGAAATTACTCTCAAATGACATATTTTTAAAATTTCTATATAATTATGCTTACCAAAAATTTTCAACTATATATTGTAAATGCTTATTAACCCTTAAAATATAGAAAAATTGCAAAGGAATTATGTTTATTTTTAAAAATATATTGTATTGATTTTTCACAGACAGGAAGGGAGAGAGATAGTTAGAAACATCAATGAGAGACAAACATTGATCAGCTACCTCCTGCACCCCCCCCCACTGGGGATGTGCCCGCAACCAAAGTACATGCCTTTGACCAGAATCAAACCTGGGACCCTTCAGTCTGCAAGCCGACCCTCCATCCACTGAGCCAAACCAGTTTTAGCTGCAAAGGAATTATAATGGAATTGTGACTATAAAAATATGAGAATTGATCTCAGGAAGTATCAACCTTTTCTAGTTAAATTGTACCTAACATTAATAGGCAAAAATACTATTTTAAAAGACTTTTCATCGTTCAATGTGTTCTACAATTATCTCTTTATTCATTTGATTGATTCTTAAGTTCTAGCCTGAATTGTTTAATGGATTAATTGTATAATGTGTTATTGTTTAATTACAACAAAATTTGCTTCCTAAATATTTATTTATTTTCAGTCAATTTACAGCACGACGAATTTTGCATTCGTATCTCTATAAACAACATTGTGAAATTTACAAAACTGTGTAGCTTGCTATCCCAAAATATACCATTTATGCATAATGAAAAGAAAATTATGATTAAGTTTGATGAAGTGAAGTATTTTTCTGTACAGGTAATATTGAAGTTTTCTTCTAGATATAAGAATGCATTTGTTTCAAATATGCTACATTAATTATATCCTTTGGGAAGGGATAAGGGAAGAAACAAAAGCAGTACCTTTTAAAAAAATGAGTAGGTTACTATAAAATGCACAATTTGGGGGTCTTTTTCCCTGAGATCTTACTGTATGTGGTTTATCACACATGCGTTTTTCTCTGTCTTGCTCTTCCCTTCCTATCTCCCATTGCCTACCCTATCTTAATTCATTTGGGCTCCAATAACAAATTACTGTAGATTGGGTGGCTTAAATAACAAATGTTTATTTCTCACCTTTCTGGAGAATGGGAAGTTCAAGATCAAGATGCTGGCAGATCTGTTGTCTAATGAGGGCCTGCTTCCTGGTTTGCAGCTGGCCCTCTGCTCATTGTTGTAAGTGATATAGCAGAGAGCAAAGAGAGATCATCCTTTTCGTGTCTCTTCTTATAAGGGCACTAATCCAGTTCATGAGGGCTCTACCCTCATGACCTAATTACATTCCAAACACCCCACATATAAATACCATCACACTGGGGGTTAAGGGCTCAACGTGAATTCTGAGAAGACATTCAGTTCATGGCACACCATTTTTTCTCATCTCCCCCCCCAACTTTTTTTTCTTTCTTCTTATATAAAATCTCCCCAATTATTTTTGCATGGATTAATCTCTTCAGTTTTTATAATAATCCCCTCAAATATGTATACTCTCATTAGCATTAACAAAATTAAAACACAACCTACAAAATGGGAGAAAATATTTGCAAATCATATATTTGATAAAGGGTTAATATCCAAATATTTATAAATATTTAAACTCATACAACTTAATAGAAAAAAAAAACAATTAAAAAAGGACAGAGGATCTGAAGAGACATTTTTTCCAAAGAAGCCATCCAAATGATCAACAGGTACTCACCTTCAGTAATGATCAGGGGAATGCAAATCAAAACCATAGTGAGATATTGCCTCACAGGTGTTAAAATGGTTATGATCTAAAAGACAAGAAATTGCCAGTGTTGGCAAGGATTTGGAGAAAAGGGAACCTTTGTGCATTGTTGATAAGAATGTAAATTAGTGCAGCCACTATGGAAAACATCATTTCTCATCACTGTTATTTCTCTCCTTTTCCCTCTCAGAAACCAATAATAAAAAATATACATATTTTTAAAAATCTTTATTGTTGAAAGTATTACATATGTCTTCTTCTTCCCCCATTAACTCCCTCCAGCCAGCCTCTGCCCTCCGCCCCAGGCCTTTGGCACACTATTGTCTGTGAATAAAAAATATATATTTTTAAAAAGAGTATTTACAGCCCAGCCAGATTGACTCAGAGGTAGCTGATCAATTATTCTATCTCTTCAATGCTTCTATCTCTCTCTCCCTCTTCCTTTCTGAAATTAATAAAAGTAATACTTTAAAAATTAAAAATAGAATTACCATATGATCCAGTAATTCTGCTTGTGGGTATTTATTCATAGAAAACTAAATCTCTATCTTGGAAAGGTATATTCACCCCCGTGTTCATTGCAGTATTTACAATAGCCAATATTGTAAAACTAAGAACCCATCAAGGATGAAGAGATTTAAAATATTTTAATAAAATATTATTTAGTCATAAAAAAGAAAGAAATCCTACCATTTGCATCAAAATGGATGGACCTTGAAGGCATTATGCTAAGTGAATAAGACAAAGAAAGGCAAATACTGCATGATCTCATATAAATCTGGGGGGGAAAAAACACCACCACCACCACCAAAAAACCCAAACCTAACTCATGTATACAGAGAATAGATTGGTGGTTGCCACAGGTGGAGTTTTGAGGGTGGGCAAAATGGGGAAGGTACTCGGGGTATCTAATGTATGGCATGGTGACAATAGTTAAATACTGTATTGTATATTTGAAAATTACTAAGAGACTGGATCTTAAAATTTCTCATCACAAGACGAAGATTCTAACTGTATAGTGATGGATGTTAACTAAACTTATTGTGATAATCATTTTGCAATATATACAAATATCAAATCATTATTTTGCATACCTACAAGCAGTACAATGATATCAATTATATATCACTTAAATTTTTTAAGCACTTAGAATCTTGGGGTAGGAAGGCATGAGATATTTTTCTAATTAGCAAGAGAGTATGGATTTTAAAGGTGACTTAGTAATTGTATTACAGGTTTCAAAGTTCCAAGTTGAGACAACTGTGTTCATTTCATCAAAAAGTTAAAAAAAAAAAAAAAAAAGACTGAAAGGGATTAAAAAGAGAGAGACAATGTAGGCATGGGTGTTTCAAAAAGACTGTAATTGACAGTAGACATAAAGAAGATCCTAAGTTTTGTGAGATTAGGGTATAAGTGACTCTGAGTTTGAAAAGTTATGACTAATAACATGAAAACTAATTGCTAGACTATGCATATAATAGAATGTAGTTTATGGATGTATTTATTCAGAAGTTATATCTGAAATTCAGACTGACAATTTAAGCCTTCTTTTTATATGTATTTTCTATTAAGGTTCCCAGACGTCAAAATGATGCCCGGAATAAAATTTACTTGGATCTAGTGCAATATGATAATAAAGAAAATCAGACTTTGTTAGGGCGTGTTCAAGTACACCTTTATGAAGTAATTCAGGTATATATCAAAATATTTTTTACTTTGAGTAAAAAAATTGTCCAGTTGGTATTTATTGTTAAGATTTACCTATACCTGATGGATTCCTTTTATTTATTATCTACCTTCAAAGTCATGGGCTCAGGAAACAATATTTCATCTATCTGTTAAAAAAAAAAAAGAGAGAGATTTGGTTTATAACAGTATAATGTTTTTGAAATTTTAATTTTCTGGAAGGGCAGTGATACAATCTAAAAAAATTAAGCTTGTTTTATTATGCTTTCTGAAATGTTTTAAAATAAGACTCAGACCGCAAACTCTATCTCTTAGTTGGCAGTATAAATGTCAGTTCTTTTATCCTTAGCTGGGCAGCTTGCTATCTGCCCTGTGCGTGTGTCATTAAGGGGTCAGCCGAAATTTTGGACAGACTTTGTATACAGATTTTATGAGTCCTTCTGTCTTGCTTTCTCCTTCCTAGGAGTGTTCCCTCCTGTGTGACAAATTTTGAAAAAGGAAAAAATCAATGAATCCTTGGTGATGACAGAGAGGAGAGACTGGGAAGAAAAAAGGAAGTTTTTTATTTTTAAACAGAAGAATGCCAGTTATAAATGTAGAAGGATTGATAAAATTACAAACTCACCATTTTTATAACTTTTTATAGTAAATTCAGTTAAGAGTTAGCAATGGCACTAGAAACATTAGGTAAAAGGTGCTTGGGGAATAAGATATTTGCCTGGTGCCATAATAACAGTCCACAGATTAATTATTACAAAGGGGAAAATGCCTGTACAGTAGACAGATGTGGTGGCTACCACTTTAACCAAGAGCTTGAACTTAGCATAAGAGATTGTGGACAATTTTAACACCTAACGTGATATAATATGATGTGCACAACCTAGGAATTATTCTCATCAAAACCATTGAGCCCAAGCCTAACTGACCTGAGTCTAGATCTAACTGACCTAATGTTTAGGGAATAGGGAAGAAGTTAAATAATGACCTGGTCAGGTAAATGCATAATGTGAGACATACCAGCTTTGCTTCTTTAAAAAGTTAAATCATTAAAAAATAATAAAAATGGAGCAACTATTCAAGATTTTTAGATACAACAACTTTGAAAACAAATTTGAAAAAGTTACAAAAGACATTCTTGTGAAATTTAGGGAATTTTGAATATATATTGCATATTAGATAAATTCTAAAATTATTGTTAATTCTCTAAAGTCTGATACTAATATTGTGGTTATGTGGAAGGCCATCCTTATCTTTACAGTACTCAGGGGGGAGTTTGACATTTAGGAGTCAAGTGAGATAACGGCTGCAACTTGTAAATTGTGCAGTAACCGTGTAGATGGACACACAGACAACGCAAACGTGGCCAGATGTATATAAGTGCTTATTATTTTGACTGATCTATGTTTCGCTAAGTGAGAATTAGTGATTAGTGACTGGAATGTCTTCAAGAGATGCCAGATAGCATGAGGCTTAAAAGAGGAAACTGTTCATATTTACCTGGAAGCAATAGAAGGGAGTGTGGATGATGTTACCCCACCTCCTGACCTTGAGGTTCGTGGGCCTTCAATTGAATGTAGTGGTGAACCGGGTTTCAGGTAAAGTAAAGGGAGATGTATAGTGGATCAGTTAAAGGTGTAAGGTTGCTGCATGGTGCGGGGCCTGATGCGGCGGGGATCTCCCATTTTCGTGGCCAGTGCAGAAAGAGATGAAATTGGTTCTTCATAGAGGCATCCGAGGACTGAGAAATAATGAAATGAAGAGAGTTGACGCAGAAATAGGTTCAAACTGGGTCCCGGGTGGGTCGCCGACCTCCTCTGCTGGAGAGACAGACGACTCACCTGAGCCACGCAGCACATCTACCCTGTTTCCCAGAAAATAAGACAGTGTCTTATATTAATTTTTGCTCCCAAAGATGCGCTAGGTCTTATTTTCAGGGGATGTCTTATTTTTCCATTAAGAAGAATACGGTACACATTTATTGCTAAATGAAAATAAAGGAAATTTATTACCTGTATACGGTACAGTAGTACGGTAGTTGTCAACACAAACCAGACAAACTGTGAATCCTACAGTATCAAGAATTTACTCATTTATTCAGTGACAATCATGTCATCATCTTCTGGAACATCATCATAACAATCCAATTCCTGAATTTCCTGGTGAATTTCTTGTGACTCCATTTCTTTTAGAATCAGTGGACCAAATCTCTCATGTTTAGCCTAGGGGGCCTTATTTTCGGGGGATGCCTTATATTTCACTCAGAAGGAAACCTGTAAGTAGGTCTTATTTTCGGAGGATGTCTTATTTTCGGGGAAACATGGTATTTATTTTCCAATACACAAGAGGGTTTCACTGGAAAACCCAAGACCAAAGGAGCCTGGGAGGGCCCAGGTCCCACCCATCCCTTCCTCTCCGGTGCCAGATGGATTCCACATCTCAAAGCCCTCTTCTGGAACCCAGACAAAGGCAAGCCAGGAACTGACACCACCTCCACACTCCCAGGGCAGGGGTGCAACTGACATGACTCTGCCAATGGCCCAGGGCCCAGCCAACAACAATCTAAAGTGTCTTCCCAGGGGGCCCTCTACACATGGCTCAGTGGTTGAGTGTCAACCTATGAATCAGAAGGACATCTTTCAATTCCCAGTAAGGGCACATGCGCAGATTGTGGGCTGGATCCCCCAGTAGGGAGCATGCAGGAGGCAGCCTATCAGTGATTCTCATCATTGATGTTTCACTCTCTCTCCCTTCCTCTGAAATTAATAAAAATAATTTTTTTAAAGATGTAAAGCTGTTAATCATGGAATGGGAATTTCACAGGTCGAGGTGGGAAATGCTGAGAAGGAAGGGAACTGTGGGGTGTTGCATTAATGGGAGAACTGATAGCACAGTAGAGATGACCAGAGATGGGTGACCAAGGACACCAAAGTTGACCTGGTTTAAAAGATCCCAACAGTCCTTGAAAGATGAGAAAAGCCCCCAGTCCTGTCAGCAGTCAGCTTAGCATTAGGTTATGATGTTTGGTGTGTGTGTGTGTGTGTGTGTGTGTGTGTGTGTTTACATTTATGTTTAACCCTTCAATCACAAACTACAGAAATGATTCCTGGAAGTACTGTAGGCAGGTGCTTTAAGACTTCCAAAAGGAGAAACTATAACTAACAGGCGATTTTTTTCTAAAACATACATATTAATATTTATTTTTGGTTCAATCTAGAATTTTTATTTTCTTCCAAATATTAATTTTATTTGTAATTAGCTATTAAATTAGTATGTGCATTAAAATCATTATCTGATTTTTTTAAATTATGAAACGGTTTAAATTATATACACAAGTGAGTCACTATTTAAGAATTTTATTTATTACTTTTTTTCTAGAAAGGGTGCTTTACAGAAGAATTTCAAATGATGAATGAAAACACAGTAAGAGCTTTACTGAAACTTCCAAAGTTTTTTGCCCAAACTTAACATTTCATCTAACTTTACTCTGATGTTATTTGTAGTATCTATTGTTTTTATTCTTTTGGTACCCTGTTAGACACTGTTTGAATTAATGGAAATATATTAAATAGAAAGTACAATATTTATTCATAAAATCTTTATCTCCACCTTAAAAAAAACAAAACAAAAACTCTATCTGACAGCTAAATGGTGAATGAGGAAAAGAGAATCATTGGGGAAGAGAGGAAGATTCCTCCACTGCTTCTTTGATTGCACAACCTCAGGATCCTCCCTTGCAAAGAAAACTGTACTTTTCTCCTTAAGGAGTTTCTGAAGAGATGTTTACAGTTAATACTTGAGTTTCTTTCTAAGTACTTAAAACTACTATCTTGATTAATTGCACTTCTATTCAGAGAGCCCACTGCTGCCAATAGCCAAAATAAAGACAGGGACATAAAAAGTAGAATGATGACTGGTTTGGCTCAGTGGATAGGGGATCTGCCTGTAGACTGAAGGGTCCTGGGTTCAATTCTGGTCAGGAGCATGCACCTCGGTTGCAGGCTCAATCCCCAGCTCTGGTTGGGGCGCATGTGAGAGGCAACCAATGTGTCTCTCTCACATTGATGTTTCTATCTCTCCCCCCCTCTCCCTTCCACTTCTCTAAAAACAAACAAACAAATTAAAAAAAAAAAACATGGAAAAATATCATGGGGTGAAGATTAACCAAAAAACAAACAAACAAACCAGAATGATGGACATTTGAGGTCATAATCTCTGATCCCCTCCTTTACTTCACATATTAGTGAGCTAAGTTTAGTGTCTGAATAAAAATATCTGAAAATGGAAGTGGAGGTGAGAGAAGTGTGAGTAAATACTTTAATATATATATATATATATATATATATATATATATATGAATATACATATATTTGTATCTCAGCATAATCCTGTTAACAATTATAAATTGATATTCTCCATATTCTAGTCATATAACATTCCTTAACTTTAACATAAAAGTTTAAAATTTCAGTAACTTCATAGATTTTTTAATAAGATTTCCTTGTATAAATGTGGGTTTTTGTTTTTTTTATTAGCTTGTTTTTGTTTTGTTTGTAAATCAGGAGACTTCATGCTTTGGTTTTCTAACTCACAAATTTATGAAATAAAAATATCATTTGTTATCACTTCTTTATTAAAATATTTTTCTGATGATCAAACAATAAAGTAAGTTTTCCACATGTTTAGTTTATCTGCAGGATGGAGGTGGACTTTATGTTCTCCTATGGAAACTTTGGTTATGGATTTTCACATCAGGTTAGTTCCCCTTCTGGCAGATATTTAGTGCTCAATAGATATTCTTTCTTCCTCTTTTAATTTCTTTTCTCATTATATGTGTTGTTTAAGGCCTATTTTATAGTCCTGAAGAATAATAGAATTAAAGTGAACTGTAACTGTCATTAAACAGTGTTAAAGTATACTTACCGTTTTCAGTTAAAACCTCTTCAGAAAATTGTTGAGCCACCTATGTTTATGAATATTGCACCGCCTCCGGAAAGAACAGACCCTATGACGTAAGTGTTTAAGTCTTACTAACACTGTTAGATCATGTGGCTTTTCAAACATTTAATCCTATGGATGAGCATTTTGGTTTTGTTAGAAAATGGCCAGAATGGATAAGTCTCCAAGGTAAAGAGAGCAGTGAATTGGTTTGCTTAAAAAAGGAGGAAGAAAATTTGAGTTTCTGGTTGCAGTCCTGAAGAGAGCTGGGGAGGAGGTCTGGAGATAGAAAAATAAAGGAGGTGGGTGACAGCTTCGTGGCTGAAGGAGGGAATGAGGTGGGCTGCCTGATGAGGGGTGGCCAGTGGAATATTCCTTTTGGAGAAAGAAGTGGGGGCCTTCTAAGATCAGGATGTCTCATAGTTTTTAGTTTTCTGCTCTTCCACACACTAACGTTTACCTGACTTCCACACACTCTAGTAACATTTACCTGACTTCCACACACTCTAGTGTTACTTCCAAATCTAGCCAAAAGTTTGTCTATGGTCAGAAAATGTCATTAGCATTTTACTAGGATAACTGTGCACTAGGGAAAGGAAATAATCCAAGTGTTCAGAGTTACTGGACATTAGCTTTGAGCTGACATTCATTTCAGAAGGTCCAACACATCACTGTTGTTGACCAGTCAGAGCAGAGGTTTATGAAGATCAAGTGATCAAATGGAGTTTTAACTCTGATCCATCCCACAGCGGGCCTAGTGGGTCTCCAAACCCATTCAGGAATTATTTTCCTAATTCCAGAATATGTAGTTGCAAGAAATATACTCAGCAGTTGATGAGTTCATACATTGGTTCCCTGACCTGTGAAATGAGGGATATTACGGTAGAAAGGGTCAAATAGAAACCACTAGAGCCACTTCTATCCAGGAAAATAGTAAACGAAAAACAATACCACATTCCTCAAGGGGTTACAGAGATTAGTGCCATCATCAAGGACTTGAAAGATCCAGGAGGGTGATGCCATCTCTTTCAACTCGCTTATTTACCTGTGTAGAAAGCAGATGGATCTTGGAGACTGACAGTACAGACAGTCCTTGGGTTACGTCGGACTTACCGTATGTCGTTTAATGGTTATGTCGCCATCTCCTATTTATTTATTAAAAAAAAAAAAAGTTCTGTCATTTCGACTTCTGTACATTTGTGCTTTATGTTTTTTTATTATTTATTTACCACACATAAAAGTCAGGAATTGTTATCTTTCTTTTAAAATTTTTTTTACTGTTTCACTTCATTACTGCTGTGTGTGTGCTCCATGTGATTGACATAGGTGCTTATGTAGGTGGGTTCCGACTTAAGGCAAAAGTCATGTTACATCTCTGACGTAATCCGAGGACCTGCTATAGATTGCTGTAAGCTTAACCAGGCGGTGACTCTGATTGCAGCTGCTGTGCCAGATGTTGTTTCTTTGCTTGAGCAAATTAACACATTCCCTGGTACCTGGTATGCAATTATTGACTTGGCAAATGCTTTTTTCTTCATGCTTGTTAATAAGGACCATAAAGCAGTTTGCTATCATCTGGCAAGGCCAACAACACACCTTCACTCTTCTACCTGAGGGGTGTATCAATCCTCCAGTCCTATATGTCGCAATTTATTTCATAGGACTCTTTAGCTTTCCCTTACACAACTGATCACCCTGGTCCAGCATAGTGATGGCATTGTGCTGATTAGATCAAGAACTATACTTTTTAAAAAATTTTTGGTCCCAGGTGTACAGAACAGTGGCTAGACAGTTATATTATTAACCAAGTGATCCCTCTGATAATTCTAGTACCTTCCTGGCACCATACGTAGCTCTAGACTTACTGGTAAGACATCAGCATGTCAGGGTGAGAAATAAATCTGACAAAATTCAGGTGCCTTTACCACAGTGAAATTTTAGGAGTCAGTGATATGGGGCTTGTCAAAATTTTTCTAAGGTGAAAGGTAAGTTGTGTCTAGCCCCTCCTAAACAGAAAAAGAGGCACAACATTGAATGAGCTTCTGGATTTTGGAGGCAACACATTTCTCATGGGGGGCTGGCCCATTTACCAAGTGATCTGAAAACACAGTGTGACCCCCAAAATGTGTACATACTTAACAGCTGATAGCCCTCTTGATGTTTCTTTCTTTTCAGATTTAACCCATTGGAATTAATAATTACTCAAAATGTGTGTATATTTTTTTGGGAGATACGCTGTATATATTACATATATCTTTATTTTCTTCCCTCTCTTATCTTCTTATCATTAAATATAAGATATATTGACTTTACATCATAATATTTAAATATTGTTAACCTTGCATTATAGAATTTAAGTTTCAGGATAGTGAGGAGAAGGGTTAAGGACTTTGCACGTCCTCTTCTGAGGAAGAGGCTAGTGACTTTTTGGTTGTGTGTAGGATAGTTATAGCAGATTAGGAGGAATTATGACCTTGTTATTGTTTTCAGTTGGTGACTAAATATGTTTTAAGGAAATGTTTATGAGTGCCAAGATGACAGAAGGTGGATGTGATAGTATATTTTATGTATCAACTTGACAGGGCCATGATAGAAATTGGGAGAGAGGTCTGGGCTCAAACACTTTCTATTTCTGTTTAGAACTTTAACTCCTTCCTTCCCACTTCTGCTGCCCATGATCTTAGTAGTAAGAGTACTCAGAGAGCACTTCTCTCAGGATTTCTGACTTTATCTTCTTTCCTTGCTTGTCCTCTGATGGCTCAAGGTGACAGGGTAAAAAATAGAAAGATTCTAAAGTGATAGCTAACAGCATTTTAGAAGTGTACTTTTGTATAATTTCAATATTTACCTTTATTACCATTTTGCAGAAATGTTATTATACCACAGTCAATAGAATATCCAGCATTCTTATCCCCAGACCTGAAAGTTACTGTTGGGATGCCACCTCCAGTAGCCCAATCCACTCCAGTGCAACTTGAAAAACTTCAGCAACAACCTCGGGAAAGGTAAAAAACATAAGCAAAATAAAAAATATTAAAAATATTATTTATGTGTTATTTGTGTATTAGAGGGCCAGTGCATGAATTCATGCATGGGGGTGGGGCAAGAAAGGGGGAGGGTCTGGCTGGCCTGGCCCCAATTGGCAGATCAAGTCCAGGCCAGCTGTGGGGAGGGGCCACGGGCAATTGGCCAATGGGTCCTGCCCCCAATTGGGGGTTGAGCCTGACGGGGAGGGGCTATGGGCCAATTGAGATGGGATGAGCCAATCGGGGGCAGGGCCAACTGGGAGGAAGGGCCTTGGGGGGTTGACCAGCTATCCCACCCTTGATTGGGGTGAGAGAGGCTGATCAGGGGCAGGAGGCTGGGGGAAGGGGCCATGGGAAGTTGGCTGGCCAGCCCCACCCCCTGATAGAGCTGGTTCACTGGCCGGAGTGGGTGTCATAGAGACTGGCCATTATAGTCATTACAGTGTTACTGTTGCTGGCTTCATATATATATATAGATGCATGAAGATTCATGCAAGAATGGGCCTTCCTTCCCTTGGCTGCTGGCACTGCCTTCCCTCCAGCCAGGAGCCGCCTTTCTGCCTTTGGTCTGGCCCAGAGCTGCCTTTCTGCCTCCCCATGCTGCCCAGAGGCTCGGAGCTGCTGGGGTGGTGCGGAAAGCCTGCATTGTTGCCATGGTGATGATGTAAGCATCCAACCCCACCCCTGGCTTCTCGGCACCTGTATATGCAAATTAAGCCACTATCTTTGTTGGGTTGATTTGCATACTCACTTTTGATTGGATGGTGGGCATTGCAAAGGCACGGTCAGTTTGTGTCTTTCTCTTTTATTAGTGTAGATAGATTAAAATTTTCTTTTGAAGCATGGACTTGCTATTACTCTGAACCTTCATCATGGTTATATTTCATGGGTTCAGAGGTTATAACTGAGTTTTGCTTAACATACCGTATTTTCTGGCGTATAGACGACTTTTGAAACGAAAAAAAGTCAACCGAAAATCGGGGGTTGTCTTATACGCAGAGTATATCCTGAAAAACGTCTCGATATGCCGCTAAATGAATTTTCCAACTCGATCCCGCACCAATCACTGCAAGGCTGCTCGGACCGCCTCTCTAACTCAGCCAATCCAAGCAGGCTTTTTATGCATGCAAATTATACATGTTCTGTACCCAAAGCTACACTGTGTTCTAGTAAAAAGCCTGTTCAGATTGGCCAGAGTCAGAGAGGCGGTCTATTAAAAAAAGAACTGGTGTTGCTTTGGAAGTGGGGGGTAGACTTATACAGTGAATATAGGCCTAAACCTATGTTTTAACTGTAAAACTAGGGGATTGTCTTATACGCCTGATTGTCTTATACGCTGGAAAATACGGTATTTAGATGTTTGTTTTTATTTTATTTATTTATTTATTTATTTTTTTTAAATACATATTTTATTGATTTTTCACAGAGAGGAAGAGAGAGGGATAGAGAGTTAGAAACATCGATGAGAGAGAATCATCGATCAGCTGCCTCTTGTACACCCCCCACTGGGGATGTGCCCGCAACCAAGGTACATGCCCTTGACCGGAATCGAACCCGGGACCTTTCAGTCCGCAGGCCAACGCTCTATCCACTGAGCCAAACTGGTCCCCGCTAGATGTTTGTTTTTAAAAGTCAGTGTTATGGCACAAAAAGAAATGAGAACTCATAAGTTAGTGTCAAGAAAATAAAGAGGTAAACTGAAGCAAGGTCAAAATTGACAAAAGATCAGTTTTTTCAGGAATATCAGAGGACATGCAAATTGTAGCTACCTATAAGTAAGTCACTTGAGAGTTAGGGATAGACTGTATGGACAAGGACTGTATAATTTGGTAAAATAAAAAACAGAGCCCTAGCTGGTTTGGCTCAGTAGAAAGAGCGTCAGCCTGTGGACTGAAAGGTCCCATTCAATTCTAGTTGGGAGTGCATGCCTGGTTTCAGGTTCAATCCCTAGTGGTAGGCGTGCAGAAGATAGCCGATAAATGATTTTCTCATCATTGATGTTCGTATTTCTCTCTCCCTCTCCCTCTCTGAAATCAATAAAATTATATTTTAAAAAAAATATAGAGACCAGCTTTGAAAATTCCCTGAGCTGAGAAAACCAGTCAGCCAATCATACAAACAGCTCAGTTTAATTATTTTGCAAGACCAATTTGACTTGGGTCATTTCTTGTTCGTGTTCAGGAAACCATAAAACTTCCCAGGTTGATATGAGTGAAGCAAACCCTGGATTAATTTCCTATCATTTAAGAAAATTCCAATATTATCAGTTTTCTGTAAACTAGGGATTTATAGGAAATCAGGTTGTCAGTCCTTAAAGTTTGTTTTCTGAGGTCACATGGGTGAGATTTTCCATTTTGTATTCTTTGGTTCCATTTAGATTGAAATTCTTCCACAGGAGGAAATACAATATTTGCTTTGCCTTTGACTCAACAATGGCATCTATAGGCCTCTCATTCTCTGCTCTATAGTTCAGTCTAGATATTTTCTTCTCACTTATTTACAGTTCACTGGTTTATTCTTCTTTGTATCTAATCTGCTGTTAAACCAATTGAATTCTTAATTTCAGTTTTCTTCTTCTTGGTTGTGGAATTTTCCTTTATTATATAGTTTCTACTTCTCTACCAAAATTCTCAGTTATAGCTCTTAATTTTTTTTTAACATATTAATAATTTTCCATTATCTGGATCTTCTCCTATAAGTTGGTTTCTATTGATGACTTTTTTTTTTATAGTTTTCTGACAAATCTTATAATATACCTACGTGTCTTTATAGAGTGCTGAACATTGTACTTGAAAACTTACAGAACTAATTTGAGACTCTTGGGTGTATATACTTTCAAAGAAGATATGCATTTGCATCTGGCGTCAGCCAGCTGATAGACATTAGGTTGTTTCCACTTTGTAGCTATTATGAATAATGCTGTTATGAGTATTCATGTGCAGATTTTTATGTGAGCACTAGAGGCCTGTTACATGAAGAGATTCATGCAATAGGCCTTCCTTCCCTTGGCTTCCAGCACCGATTTTCCTCTGGCATCTGAGATCCAGGCCTTCACTCCAGCCAGAGTCTGCCTTCTTTGTCTTTGCTGCAGACTAGCCAGAGTCTGCCATCTTTGCTTTGTTTCCTTAAACAATATATTATTGGTTTGCCTCTTTTAGAACTTTTAAAAATGGATCATACTAGATGAATTTTATTGTGAATCTACCATATATTTTTCTTGCTTATTAAATCTATAACTCTGTCTTTTCTTTTTTTAGGCTGGAAAAAATGAAAAAAGAATATAGAGATCTGCCTACTTGGAGAGAAAAAGCTACATATTTAGAAGGAATTCTTAACCCCAAATTGGAACCTAATAAACTTAAGGTAATTAACATATGTTCTCCCAGATAGAGCTTTTAATAATTTTTATTTTAGAAGATTATGATAATTAAAAGTGATGATTAGATATTATTTATGTTCTTGATATAAAAATGTTATGGTTCATGCACTCTACTATTTTTATAATGTGACATTCAATAAATATTTATTATTAATTTATAAGGTTTAGTATTTTAACAGCTTGGATTTTTCCCTTTTTTTTCTTTATTGATTAAGGTATTACATGTGTGTCCTTTTCTCCCCATTAACTCCCCCCAACTCATGCCCTCACCCCCTGGTGTTTATGTCCATTGGTTAGACTTATATACATGCATATAAGTCCTTTGGTTGATCTCTCCCCCTTACTCCCACCCTCTCCTACCTTCCCTCTGAGATTTGATGGTCTGACTAAGGCTTCTCTGTCTCTAGATCTGTTTTAACAGCTTGTTGAGATATAATTTGTATAGTATATAATTCACCCATTTAAAGTATACAATTTGCCCTAGCCAATTTGGCTCAGTGGATAGAATTTATACAATTTGCCCTAGCCATTTTGGCCTGTGGACCAAAGAGTCCCGGGTTCTTTTCTGGTTAAGGGCACATACCTGGGTTATGGGCTTGATCCCCAGTAGGGGGCATATAGGAGGCAGCCATCATTGATGTTTCTATCTCTCTTCTCCCTTCCTCTCTGAAATCAATAAAAATTAAAAAAAAAACATTTTAAAACAAAAAGAATGCTACCTTCTCTCAAAGCATCTATACAAGATTATTTAAAAATATAATAAAGTGTCCATTGTTACAATCAATTTTAGAACATTTTCATTATCCCCCAAAGAAACCCCACACCTTAGTCTGTATCCTTCAAGTTCCCATGTTCCCTAGCCTTAATTTCAGTCTCTATAGGTTTGCTTATTTTAGACATTTAATATAAGTGAAAGCATACAATATATGGTCCTTTCTGACTTACTTTTTTAACTTAACATAGTGTTTTCAAGGTTCATCTTTATTGTAGCATGTATCAATACTTTATTTCTTATATTGTAAGATAATATTCCATTCTATAGATATATAACATTTTATTTATCTATTCAGCTGATAGGCATTATTATCTATTCAACTGATAGGTTGTTTCCACTACAAAGTGAATATTTGTGTGCAGGTTTTTATGTGATCATATGTTTTTAATTTGGTGGTGGTGAAGGGGATATGCATGGAGTGGAATAGCTGGATAACATAGTAATTCCCTGTTTTACTTTTTCAGGAATTACCAAACTGTTTTCCATAGCAGTTGCACAATTTTACCTTCAACCAGCAATGCATGAGGGTTCAACATCTTCTCCAACACTTATTTCTCCTTAAAAAATATAGCTGTTGTAGTGATTTTGAAGTGGTATCTCATTGTGGTTTTGATTTGCATTTCTCTAATGACCAATGATGTTAGCATCTTTTCATGTGCTTATTGCTCATTTGTATGTTTTCTTGGATTAATGCTTATTCAATTCCTTTGCTAATTTTATAAGCTGGGTTATTTGTATTTTTATTGATGAGTTGTTAGAGTTCTTTACAAATTTAGACCCTTATCATATATATAAGTAAGATTTCATATTTAGAAATGCAGTCTAACCTCTATTTAAAAATTTTTAAAAATATTTTATTGATTTTCCACAGAGGAAGGGAGAGAGATAGGGAGCTAGAAACGTTGATGAGAGAGAAACATAGACCAGCTGCCTCCTGCACACCCCCTACTGGGGATATGCCCACAACCAAGGTATATGCCCTTGATTGGAATCGAACCTGGGACCTTTCAGTCCGCAGACCGACGCTTTAGCCACTGAGCCAAACTGGTTTCGCCTAACCTCTATTTTTACTTGGCAATAAGAATTCACAGGGATTTCAGTAGATAGATAAACCAATGAAATTGTAGTTATATTAATATATTCATGATTTTTATTATCTCTGCTATAATTGGGCAGAGTTCTGCTGCTATGGAATAAATGGATTAGCATTACCAAACTGAATAGGTATTTTAGGAAAAATTTGAGGGTTCTTCATTAAAGGGACTATGGACTTTGGGTTCTTACTGAAAAATCAGTATATATAAGCATGATTACTCTACCTTATAATTCTTCTTGGAATTTTGTAAAGATCCACATCTCTTATCAACTCAGAGGCCATAATATATTTTAATTAAAAAGTCATGTTTCCTCCCACCGTGTGGGGGCCAGATATGGTGGGGATGTCCCTTTTCTGCGTTCAGCAGGGAGAGAGAGATGAACGAACCAGTTCTAAGTTGAGGTGGCCAGGGATTGAGAAATAAAAGAAAGAAGACACAGAGATAGATTTATAAAGCTGGGAGCTGGGTGGAACTGCTGCCACCTCTGAAGGAGAGGCAGGGACCCCTAGCCCACACAGGGCATTTATTTTATACCCTCAAATACCAGGAAGTATCACCAAAATTTAGGATCAAAGGAGCTTATTTGCATTCTTGAGTAGACCCCAGCATTCCTGTGCTTGACTGGATTTACATGTCTAAGCCTGCTACTACAGATCCCTGGGCTGAAATGAAGGTCAAGCTGATAACACTCTTTCCTTTTTTGGCAAAGGGTGTTCCCAGGGTGCTGCTCTGCCCATCACCCTGAATTCAGCAGACAATAATTAAAGAAATGCCCACGTGCCTTCCCAGGGGGCCCTCTACACACAGTCCTCAAAATTACATTATATCATTTATCTTATAATCTTTTTCTCATACAATCATGCAGTCATCATTAAATACCCTATCAATTCCTGGTTATCCTCCTGGGTATCCTACAAATCCTAGCCAGATGTATCTCTCTTTAAAACAGTGCTGTTTGGTTTGGTTTTCTCACAGACCCATATCCTTCTTGTCTTCTGTACATTAAAAATATTAAAAGAAGGCAGAGAAAAATGTTTAGCTCTTTAAACATTTGTCTAATACATTTTTTTTCTTTCTTTCTTCATCTTTTTTTGGTTCTAGGGAAGTAATATCCATGAGGTACCTGAAAACCAAATTGAAAAGAAGCCTGAAGATACATCAGGTTAAGAAACTAGTTTACTTTTTGTGTTTATTATTAAGATAATTAAAAACAGGGTAGTTATATCACAAATATAAAATTAGTAATTTGCTTTAAGTGGATTTCATGTTTTGATAAGGAACAAATATGCCTTTCATTATAGTTTAAGTACGTAGTATTTCTTTTGTAACACTCCAAAGAAAAGACTTAGACTTAATCCAGTTATTTTAATTTTTTAATGGTCCTTTTCCTACTTTAAGGACAAGAAAAAAGTTAAATTTTAACTATGACCTATGAAAAAGTATTTTAAACATTGTTAACTGTAGAGCTGTTGGTCTCTTAGGTAGAGGGTGTGTCTGTGTGTTGTGTGTGAAAGAGAAAGGGAATGAAAGAGAGAAGGACAGGAAATTAAATTAGCATTAAATTTGCAAACAACACAATTATCAGTAAGATATTTAATCAATGGAAAAAACTGTTCATGCAATCTTTTTTGTTTTTAAAAAAATCTCTGTAAAAAGTTTCATTTAGAAAGTTAAAATGGATGCATAATACCATATCTTTAAAATCTTAAATTCTGAAGGTGTGGAATAAGTACATTGTTATAAGATTTTGGTCACAGGTGACTTTTCTACTTCACTGCCTCTCCTTCTCTGGCTACATCAGGCATCTATATATTCATTTCTTAACCCCTGAGGTCAATCGGCCTGGCTGAGCTGCTGCATCTTTAGTTCACTCTTCGCCTGAAACATTCAGTTTTTAGGTGTAGGGGAATCGCATTTCTCTCTTCAGTATCACTGTTCAAGATGGTATGTTTACCTCTTTCACTCACTAGTAGTGGTCATATATATTTTTTTTTTTTAATTTTTCCACTTATCCAAAGAGCTTATTTTAAGTCTCATTGGATCATCTAGTGACTTCTTTCCTTTTGGTATTCCTATGGTTTCCTATAGTTATAGAGAATATTTATTTATTTACTCATTTATTTTCTCACCCAAGGGTGTTTTTTCATTAATTTTTAAAGAGAGTGGAAGAGAAGGAAAGACAGAGAGAAATATAGATGTGAGAGAAACACATCAATTGGTTGCATCCTGCACGAGCCCCAACCAGGGCCTGGGCCAGAGAGGAGCCTGCTACCAAGGTATGTGACCTTGACTAGAATCAAACCGATGACCTTTTGGTCCAAAGGCCGACACTCTATCCACTGAGTCAAACTGGCGAGGACATAGCTAACATTTATTAATCACAATGTTCTAGGCACTTTACTTGGGTTCTATAAGTCAATCCTCACAGCAGTCAATTGAGGGCACTATTATTATTTAACCACATTTTTACAGATGAAAAAAAAGAGGATCAAACCAACAATGGTCACACAGCCAATAAATGGTAAGGATTGAATTTGAGCCTACTCTGTTGAACTCAAGCATTTAACCATATGGCTGCTTACATCTTACATATATTTGTGTCATACCTTTAACATATCATTAGCCTATTTTATATACGAGAAAAGCAAGGCTCAGAAAAAATGAGCTGATCATGATGGTGCAGCTAGTAATGATCATATAATTTTTTTTACTAAACTTCATTCCTTTATATCTCAATTTTTTATTCCCTCTCTCTTTCTTTTAGGTTTTCCTTTTTTCTTTACTAAAATGGATCCTTTGTATTTTTAGAAAAAGTTTACAAGTGCTTTATTCAGCCTCTCTTAAATGGTCTCTTTTCACTCTTTTTTCCAATTCCAACCTTATCACTGACCCTCTGGGGTTTATTTTCTTTTCTTTTGACTTTTAGCAAAATACACTGAATACCTGCTTTTATGTTTTAATCGATGGATCTGAAATGTCATCACTTTATATGTTTTCATTTTACCTTCACACTTGTACATTCTTCCCGATCTTCCAAGAGATTCATCTGTCTGTCTTTACTAAATAGTGTTTGTTTAAATAGCTATCTTGATTTAAATTGTTCTTTATTCTTGGTGAGAAAAATAATAATAATAATAATTTATTGGTGTACATATTAATAAGTTTATTTTCTATATAATAAAATATTCTGTTAATTTAACAGATATCTCTTATATAAATAAGGAAGTTGAAACTATTCCAACTGAGGTAAGGGAACTTGGAAAACAACTTCTAATAGTCACTATTTTTTAAAGGGATGAAATATTTATAAATGGAGAAATATTTACAAATGGAAAGAAAAGCACTCAAGAAGTTATTCAGTTTATCCTGTTATTTTTGTTATGATAATATTGTTAGTTACACGACTTGTTTAAGTAAAATTATACTCTTAAAGGAGAAGTTTTAGCATAAAATAGTAATATTTAAAAATATCTATGAAGATAGGGGACAAAGAGAAGGGGGCAGGTAAAAGAAAAAGCATCAAGTTCTGCATAATGAACTTAGAAATGGATGCCACATTCTTTATTTTTTCTCTATGTAATGATAATCTATATCTTATAAAAGGAGTTCACATAATATTTTATCTAATTTTACAGAAGGTACATTCCATAAAGTAGTGAATTCTTATGTAAATCAATAAAAAATAAAAGACTCTTCTATATTACTTAACAAATGGGATTTAATGATTTTCACCTTTGGGTCAAATATCAGTTGAAGAGTTAATATGTACTGTTTCACTAAGTCCAGGAAGCGGGAGGAAGGGGGGAAAAAGATAGGGAACTTTTCATAAAGCTCAATTTATTTAGTTTAGCAGTCCTTTATTATAAGACTAGAGGCCTGTTGCACAAAGATTTGTGCAATAGGCCTTCCTTCACCTGGCAGCCAGCACTGGTTTTCCTCCGGCACCCGGGACCCAGGCTTTCACTCTGGCTGCCACCTTCCGGCTTCATTAACTCTAGCTGGTGTCTGCAGGCTTCATTCTGGGCCAGAGCACTGCTCCTGTAGCTCTCTCTGCCCCTGCCCTCACCCTCATAGCAGATGCCCTGCCCCCCTTGGCTGCTCCATGTCTGGAGGAGCTGGGGGATGGGGCTGCTGCCATCTTTGTCCTGCTAATTTACATATTCCCTCCTGATTTGTTTGTGGGCATTATGGAGGTAAGGTCAATTTACACATTTCTCTTTTATTAGTGTAGATACCATTACCATTCTTTGTACTATTTTACTATTAAAATGCCCTTTATTTTATGATATGTTGGTAATAGTATAAATAAAAAGTTATACTATATTCTTTTTTGAAATATTGCTGATTTATAACATCTGAATGTATGAGAACCATTGATTTATAAAGTAGTATGAACATTGTTATGGAAAATAGTCCATGTTTTCAGGCAAGTAGAAAATCGCTCAATTCTTTTATAAGGACTGCAATAATTTACAAATATTGATGGTAACTTGTTATAATAAAGGATAAGGGTACAAATGATTTTAAGTCCAGTTTTGTTAGTTTTAAATATTTCTAGTCAGTAATGTCTAATTGGTAGCTTGTTTTATTGATATATTTTCTAGTTACTGGGTAATGATGATAAGAAAGGCGAGACTCTACCAACTTTGAACAAGGAGGATAGAGATCATCCAAAGGAGTTTGCCTCTAAAAAGGATGAACCAGCAAAACAAAGAACTGCTCTATTGTTCACTATTCCTAACCTGACAATAACTGAAGGGAACAAAATAGTTCCTCTAGAGGAATACCATTATGAATCTGCTCCAGACAGAAAACTGAAAAAGCCCTCTCAATCAGAAGAAAAAGTATTAATTAAACATCCTAGCATTTTAAAACCACAGTCATCTGCATCAGAGGTAATGTTGGAAAATATTATTAATAGTAAATCCCAGTAGAATAAAGAGGATTATTCCCAACAGAAATTAGGTAGGAAAATAGCAGTCTAAGCTTAGTTAGAAGAAAGAACACAAGTTTAGTTTTTCCAAATTAAAAAATCAAAAGGTAGCTTTCAAAGCCAAAATCCAAAGGAAGACCTTGAACTAAAGGTATTAGCCCTTGCCCTGACTGGTTTGGCTCAGTGGATGGAGCTTCGGCCTGTGGACTGAGGGGTCACAAGTTCGATTCCGGTCAAGGGCATGTGCCTTGGTTGTGGGCACATCCCCAGTAGGGAATGTGTAGGAGGCAGCTGATCGATGTTTCTCTCTCATTGATTTTTCTAACTATCCCTCTCCTTTCCTCTCTTTAGAGAGTTAATAAAATATATTTTTTTAAAATAATAAAGGTATTTGCCCTCATATTAGTATAAGACTAGGAAAACAAAATTAATTCATTTAAAACAACAAATTAAATACAAATAAATTGAAAATGCATTCAAATGTCTCCAAGCAGAAGTGTGTCTTAGTAAAGACTAGAGGCCCAGTGCACGAAAATTTGTGCATTGGGGAGGGGAGTTCCTCAGCCCAGCCTGCCCCTCTTGCCCCCCTCACAGTCCGGGAGCCCTCATATGATGTCTATGGGGAAACGGCCTAAGCCGCAGTCTGGCCTCTCTCTACTGGAGGCGACCGGCCAATCAGATATATAGATACTTTCTGGAGGCAGCATGGTCTCTTTCCTTATTTCTTTCCTCAGAGGTTGGAGAACAGGGGACTAAAACATGAAGACAGAACTGGGGCTGGGCCTGGGATTTTTGTGGGCAGTGGAAATGGGGAGAGGGCTGGGGAAAGTCTAGTAGACACATTTCCTTTAATTGTACCGGAGCCCAGCGATGTTGGTTTTCAGCCACCCTCACTTCTCAACTGAATGTACATCCACCTCAAATTCAAAGCGGGGCTGTTTTCAAGTGGCTAAAGTGCTGGGAACTTACAGCTCCTGGCCTCTCCCCTCTCGGTTTCCTCCTTGGGTCAGTTACGAAGTTCACTGAGACACCAAAGCAGCTCTGCCCTGGGGGGAGGGAGTTCGGAGGTGGATTGGGGATGCACACATGCAGGCACCACATCCCAGGTCAGGGACACAGGCAAGCAGCATCATGGCCCTGACCAGGGATGCAGGCAGGCAGCTTGACCTCAGCGCTGGGGCAGGCCTGGGTGTGCCTCTGCTGGGGCAGAAGTCCCAGCCCCCATCCCCGTTCCTGTGTGTGCACAACCCATTGACTGGTCGTGACTTGGACACTTAATGGACAAATTAGCATGTTACCTCTTTATTATGTAGGATTCCTATTTATACTCACCATGTAAAGAGGGGGGGGAAACGTATGAACAGTTTTATTTAAAATTTCCACTGAAATAACTTTCCGGCTTTTAAATTTCCTTTCAATTTACATTTTGTTATACTTTTACATATTTCTGGTATCTCTGATCTCTTTGCTTTTGCTTTTCCTTTTTTTTTTTTTTAAATAAATCTTTATTGTTCATATTATTACAAATGTTCCTCATTTTCCCCCCTCCATTGCTCCCCTCCACCAGGTTCCCACCCAACCCTCTGCCCTTTCCCCATCCTCCATTGTCCTCATCCATAGGTGCACGGTTTATGTTCAGTCTCTTCCCACACCCCCCACTCCCCTTTTTCCTGAGAATCATCAGTTCACTCCCCTTCCATACCTCTGATTGTATTATATTCACCAGTTAATACTGTTAATCAGATTTTTAAATTCCCTTGGTTTTTAGATTCACTTGTTGATAGTTACGTATTTGTTGATCATAATTTTTATCTTTATTTTCTTCCTCTTCCTAAAGAACCCCCTTCAGCAATTCATATAATTCTGGTTTGGTGGTGAAGAACTCCTTTAGCTTTTTTATATTTGTGAAGCTCTTTATCTGGCCTTCGATTCTGAGTGATAGCTTTGCTGGGTAGAGTATTTTTGGCTGTTGGTTCTTGCCATTCCCGTCTGGCCTGCATGGTTTCTGTTGAGAAATCAGCTGACAATTGTATAGGTGCTCCTTTATAGGTAACTACCTGCTTTCCTCTTGCTGCTTTTAATATTCTCTCTCTGTCTTTTGCTCTTGGAATTTTAATTATGGTGTGTCTTGGTGTGGTCCTCTTTGGATTCCTTTTGTTTGGGGTTCTGTGTGCTTCCTGGACTTGTAAGCCTAACTCTTTCACCAGGTGGGGGAAAGTTTTCTGTCACTATTTCTTTCAGTATGTTTTTGGTATCTTGCTCTCTCTCTTCTTCTGGGACCTCCATAATTCTGATGTTGGGTTGCTTGAAGTTGTCCCAGAGGTTTCTTACATTATCTTCAACTTTCTGGAATCTCGTATCTTCTTGCTTCTGTGGACGAGTGTCCTCTGGCTCTTTGTGTTCCAAATCTTTGTCTTGATTCTTGCGATCTTCCATTCTGTTTTTAGGACTCTGTATAATATTTTTTATTTCAGACAATGTATTCTTTATTTCTAGTTGAGTCCTTTTCATATTCTCATAGGTCTCATTTATTTTATTGGCCTTTTCTAGGAAATTCTTGAAAAATCTTCCTTATAAGCGTGGTTTTGAACTCTATCCAGTCGATTTTTCTCCTCCATCTTTTTTCATTTGTGATCTGTTTCCTTGTCTCAGCATTTTTGCAGCTTCCCTGAGTTGGTAGCCTTAAAAGTCTCTGTGTTCAGCTTGGATGGAGCGGAGTTTCAGGGTTGAGCCTACAGCCTTGACTTCTATCAGCCTTGTCCTATGAGGCTCCTGAGTCTTAGTGTTCCTCAGTGTCCTTCAGTACTCATTGTAAGCACCTCTGAGAGAAAGGTGCCCTCGAGTTTTGCCTACTACCAAACAGTCTAGGCTCTCCCCCAATGAGCCCGGAACTGGTGTTCAGTTTAGTTGAAAGTTGGGTTCAGAGCAGTTTGGAGCTTTTGTCTCCTTCCCGCTAGGGCAATCCTATGGCACAGTCAACACTCCGTTCTCTTCGAGCAATGTGCGCGCTTCCGGGACTTCCTTTTGCCGCTCCCCTGAGTTTCCACCTTACAGCCCAGGCTCCCTCCATATGAGCCTGGGTCCCCAGGGTCTGGCCTAGAACTGGGGTTCAGTGCAGTTGGAACTGGAGCTCAGCACAGTCTGGAGCTTTTGTTTCCTTCCCGCGAGGGCAATCTAGCATCAGAGTCAATAGTCCATCCTCTGCACGTAATGTGTGCGCCTCCGGGACTGCCTTTCGCCGCTCCCCTGAGGTTCCACCTTACAGCCCAGACTCCCTCCTTATGTGTCTGGGTCCCCAGGGTCTCGCCCAGAACTGGGGTTTAGTGCTGTTGAAACTGGGGTTCAGCATAGTCCTGAGCTTTTATCTCCTTCCCACTAGGAAACGCCAGCCAGGCACTCAGCCTCCCCTTCCTCTCCAGCTTCGTCCTCTCCATGCGTGCATTATGTCTGCGCACCGTGTCTCTGTACCTTAGGCTTTTACAGCTCCTCTGATTTTCCTTCTGGTTTTCTCTTTCCTTCTCGTTGTAGAATTTCCAGTCAGTCGACTTTCCTGTAGTTCTGGGTAATGTCCATTTTGTATTTTAGTTGTATTTTATTGAAATTGTTGTGTGTGGCTGCAGTTAGGTGTTTACCTATGCTGTCATTTGGTTTCTCCTGATCTCTTTGCTTTTCCAAGATCCTTAGACTCATATTCTACTGTACCAGGTTTAGGCTTGAGATACAGAATTTTAACATCTAAATCAGCCTCAAGAAAGAGGCTTCCTCAGTATGGCTTCACTGCGAACTGAAGATACTCGTTAGCTATCCGCTGCTTATATTGAAGGAGTCAGGATCAGAAAAACTGCCATATTCTGAAGGTGAAGGAAGGGGAAAGTGAAGGCAGTGAGTGGGCCATACCAACTCGGAAGCTCCTGGCTCTGCCCTTGGGACTAGGCTTTATCTTCTGAATGATCATTTTTTCTCTCTCTCTCTCTAAAAATGAGCTTATATGTGTAACTGAGTTGTTTTGCAGCTCATGTCTTGTCTGTAGAAAGTTGAAACCCTCTTTTAATTTTAAAGTGTCTCTATTTCTTTCAGTCCAAGATGCTATGGTTATCTTAAAGGTCTTGTGAGCTTCCTATGTGTCAAATTATGACCCCAGCCAAATGTTACATCTTCAAGGCAGGCTACTTGCCTTGGCTCATCGTCAAGGTTCTATAGTACCATATCCTTGAAAACCTTAGAAACTTTCCTGTCTATGCACCCTAAGTTACTTAGAACATTTTTTGTCTACATGAGTTGGTCTGTGATAACCACCTTAAATCTTTTTTTGAGGTCTTAACAATTCTTACAGCCTCATCCTGTGATCTAGACCTTGAAACCACTTTTTACTCAAAATGCCATTGGGCCCTGAGTAATGAAGTCATGAGGTGAGAATTTTGGGGCATTGATTCAGTGGCTTAACAAAACCAGGAACCTCTTCCTCCTCTTCTTCCTCTTCTGCTTTATCCTCCTTCCCCTCTTTTCCCCCTTTCCTTCCCCCTCCCATTCTCCCCTTCCATCCTCTTCCTCCTTTTATGCTCATGCTTGACATTTCATCATCATAAGATGTTGCTTCAGTCCTAGGCATCATATATGGATCAAGGCAGGTGAAAGAATGTGGGGTAGAGCAATCAAGTACTTCTTTTGCAACTGCTCACTTTTATTTTTACAAAGAAACAGAAGTATGGTGTATTTGGATGATGCTCTAACCAACTGAGCTACCTAGCCAGGTTGGGGACTGGATGAAAGAAGATAAAGGGATTTAACAAAACAAATTATGTATATGTATAAAACATATACACAGACAGCAGTTGGTGAGAGCCAGAGAGAAAAGGGGGTGGGAGTAGGTGGGCAAAGGGGGGATAAATGGAGACATAAAGAGACTTTGCTTGAGGTGATGGGTGCATGATACAGTGTGTACATTATGTTTTTCAAGTTTTA